TTTTTTTTTTAAGCTAACTCTTTTTGAGATCATTATCTTCTTGCCTTGTGATTTAACATGTGAATTTTTGAAAATCCATTAGAGTTTTACAAAGAGAAACAATAAGTATGAAAACAGGTATTGATGCTGTAAAATAGTCTAATTTACACACACGCACACACACAGAGTTTGGTTTTAAAATTCTTATTTTCCAGAAAAGAGATACAAAAAAAAAAAAAAATACGTGTTAAAAGAGCTTTGTGAATGAAGTTAGTTCTGAAATGCTGAGGGCATGGTCCTTGATAACTTTCTGAAATTTGAGTTTAAGATGCTTTAAAAGACCCCAGGATACTGACAGCTACATTCTTTCCCTATCCCACAGTAGCTCCACAAATCTTTTGTTTCTCTCAGACTGTGACAGAGGTCAGGCTGATGTCACACTCCACCATGAATTTGTGACTCCACAGCTCAGCCTCCCTCAGAGTTAGTGTCTTTGTCGATTGCTGCCTTTGGTGTAACGGCACATTTCCCCTTCTCTGTCCAGGGACCACCCGACTACTCCAAACCGATTCTCATTGGCTCCACGGAGAAGATATCCAATTCAGCAGGCCCAGTACTCTGCACCGGGGACCCTTCCCACAGTGTGTTGGGAAGGCTACCAGAGGAATAACGTGCTCTCTGCCCGAAACTCCCAGATGGTGTCAAGCCCTGTGACTGTGAGGATTGCTCCCCCAGATCTACCCCGTTCCCCGTGAGTATGCATTTTATAACTTGATGTTTTTCAGAGGGGAAGCTCACTTTGTATTCCTGGCATATACTTAGAGCTCATTTCCCGGCAGAAGTGACCAAAAAACATGTCGGTAGAAAAAGGATAACAGCCTTGATCCAAAGACCCCAAAGCATCCTTCATAAGAAGGAAAGAGCACCAACTCTTTGCGAGTCAGAGGACCCAGCTTGAAGCCTCGCCTCTGCCACTTAGTACACATGGGACTTTGTTGCACAACTTTACTGATCTCGGTTTCCTTTTCTCCCGAGTGATGTGGATAGAGTAAGAACAGACAGTGTCTGAGGACCTCTCCAGCTCTAGAGCTGTGATCCTTTTTCATTTGGCCTCGAGGGCATCACTGATCGCCAGTGGCTGTTCTGTGAATGAACAGACGATAGGTGGATAGGCATCTGCTTCTGTGTAACCAGGGGAGGACTTTGGAGACTTCTCAGTAGATTGTAATGGTCTGTCTACACTGAATGAGGTAGTGGTCTCTCAGTGGCACTGGACTTCCTCTTCCCATTGCAGCCCGGAGCAGGTTGTGAATTCAGCCGTGCCTTCATCATCCAGTGCTGCCCCAGACCCGTGTGCAAAGGAGACCGTGATGAATGCGCTCAGAGAGAGTCAGAAAAGGGCGGTGGAGGAGGAGGATCAGATCTTCTGTGATGCCCAGGAAGACAAGCGAAGGTGACAGCCTGGTGGGACCAGGCAGCTCAGTTCTCAGGGGACGGGCTCGTGGGGTCCCGAGAGCTGGCTCCTCACAAGGAGTCTTAATCACTCCTTGATTGCAGCCTTCCCTGAAGGGTGGGACACAGTAACACAAGCCTTGAGCCTTCCATGAGAAAGGGGTTTTTCTATAATTTGCTGCTTTCCCCGAAGTACTAAGAATTATAACTCCAAGGACCTTGAAGAGTTTTATTGGCAACACTCACATTCCGCATCCCCTGGCCCCTGAATTTTATTATAAGAGGAGTTGACTGTGGCGAGGCCATCTTGTTCTGAGTGTTGGCCATCTCTCGGTGCCCAAAGTAACGCAGGAGGCTCAGCGTGTGCTCAAGTAGGCACGAGCCTTGGCAAAGAATGCTGAGCTCTGAAAGGAACTGTGTGAGGCACTGTGAGTCATTCTTGAGCTTGTGTGATAAGGTCTTGGGAGTGAAGAAGACTCCTGCCCACATGCAGAGCAGGGGCGGGAGTGAGGAACAGGCGTGCCAGAGCTCAGCCAGCTTCTCCAAGGAGTCCTTTCAGGTTCCCTGCTTTCCCCTCTTGGCCTTGCCAAAACAGTCTGTCCCAGACAGCACAAAGCCAGGCATTTGACGCTGTCCCAGCTTGTCATCCAGGAGCCTGACTTAAAAAAGTAGTGCCTGCAGCTGTGACTTGTACGCAGCAAGCAGTAATACACGCCATCATAACTTAGAGTAGGTTTGGACTGGTAGGACAGGAACAGGGAAGTCCGTCCCAGTGAGGTTTCCAAGCTGCTTCTGTTGGCACATGAGCCTGGGCTCCCTGCACACTGGCTCGCTCGCAGCTCAGTTACCACTTGTGTGGCATCTTTTCTAGGACGGGAGCAAGAAGCACTGGCATTTGCTCAGGGGGGCAGGGCTGTGTGGTTAGTGCCGTGTTGGAGGGAGGGGCCTGGGGAGAGTTTGGTTTTGTGCTTTTTGGAGACAACCATGTTCCACCCTTAAGGCCTGAAGTGAAGCAGGTGGGATCAAGTGTCCTCAGGATCCCCAGTTCTGTGTCCTTGGTTGATACTTTATAAATGCTGAGCTGGATTCAGTTTTATTCTGATAAGAACAGCAGTCACAGAAATAAGCACCTTGGATTACATCTCCATGCTGCTTGCCAGGTGTTCAAGAAACTCAGTTTCCCAATTGAGAATGAAGTAAATGTTTCTTGATGGTGTTTTAAAGCTCCTGAAATCACCGGAATATTACTACTGCCATCTTCTCAGTCCAACCTCTGCATCCAGTTCCCCCCCCCCCCCAAAAAAAATCTGCTTCACTGTGAATTTTTTGTCATTGCAGGCGCCACGACAGTAGTGGGAGTAGACACTCAGCGTTTGAACCCCTGGTCGCAAACGGAGCCCCAGCATCTCTGGTTCCCAAGTAAGTAATAGTTCCCTAAATAGAACGTTTAGCAAAGAGGTAAACAGAGCCTGCGTCTGAGTGATTCTGCCCAGACCTACACTCATTAAGAACATCAGACCTAATTAGTTGTCCAGTAACTGCTACTCTTTGCTTTTCTTGTTGGTTCAGGATAGTATCTGTCACCCTCAGAGCCTTAAGCAGGGTTAAATTTCAAAATACTTAGATCTTCCTCATATCCCCAGTTTGTTTTCATAACTGCCTAGCTGAAATTGTTACCAATTATGTTAACATAACTCCTTCTCCTGGGTTACTTAAAGAGAGAAACCATGGCCAAGTTAGATGTAGCCCTGAGAAATCTTTGTTCCTTCCATTAGGCCTGGATCTCTGAAGAGAAGCCTCACTTCCCAGTGTACAGAGGACAACCTGAATAAGAGATCTCGAACCTCTTCCACCAGCTCTCAGACCGACACCTCCCCAGGGGGCATCCCCAGCTCCATCCGCAATGCCATCTCCAGGTCCATCCGCAATGCCATCACCAGCTCCTACAGCTCCACTGGGGGTTTCTCACAGGTACTGCCTTGAGGGTGACAGATCGCTTGTGCGGTTAGTTTTTCAAAACCATCGCATTCGGTAGCTTCTGTGCACTCTCAAGGCTCTGTCACAGTCATGAACGCGCTACTCCAGTCTGCCTCCTCCTCTTCCTCTTTTCCCCTCTTCCTGCTCCATTGCTCATGGGGCATTTCTGATTTCTCTGTCCTTGATGTCTAGTCTAAACTTGAGCACATCCTTGAGTGTTTTCTCAAATGTTTCTTCTATCTCCTTGCATTAACTTGAAAAGGGGACTTTGTCCTGAGGAAACAAATCATTTCCAACACTCTCCACTGGAAACCATTCCGTTTTTCCCTGACTCTTAATTCACAGGGCTGGGGAGAAGAGCTGGCCCATTTAGGCTTCCGTTGCTGCTTCTAGACTGTTCTGCCACCATCTCTCACTTTATTTTTTCTTCAAAGTTCCCTTGCTCAGTGACCTCAGCATCTGATGTGAAGTTTTCTTCCTCCATCTTAATCCTCAAAAAAAATACATGGCAGTGATAATGGTAATTCACACGTAGAGCCCCTTTCCCATTTACTGAAACCCATTTCCTCGGGACAGCCGTGAAAGATGAGGAGGGGGGAGGAAGTACTTTCATCCTCATTTTCAGAATTTGAGAATTGGGAGAAGGACCTGAGCAGTCATTTAATTGAAATCACACAGACAGGAATCCTCATACCCAGTGATTGGTCATCTAGTGGTCATCTATTAAAGATTTTTAGGGAGAATGAAGTAAAAGGGAATCCTTTCATAATGAGACTTATCTTTGAAAAGAAATTTAAAAAAAAAAAGATAATAAATGGCAAGTAGTCCCACTGATTGTAGGTGACAGCTCTTTTTTGCTGTAAGTAGTGATTTGCAAATGGTCTTAATTGTAGCTTTTTCTGACTTAGACTGAGGAAGACTAGGAAACGTTTTAGTTCTGCAGAAGTCCTAATTAAACAAATTGCTATTTTCATTTAGCCTTAAAATACCAGTGTTCTTTTCCACCCCCTTCTGAATTTGTTGTTTACCTTGATGACTTCCTAAAATTTATGTTGCAGCATCATTATCAATGATGAAACCCTACTAAGCAGATGTGTATTTGGTGGTGGGATGCTATTTCTTTCTTTTTTTTTTTAAGTGAGGCAGTCGGGGTTAAGTGACTTGCCCAAGGTCACACAGCTAGTATGTGTCAAGTGTTTGGTCTGAGGCCGTATTTGAACTTCAGGGCCGGTGCTCTATCCGCTGCACCACCTAGCTGCCCCATGGGATGCTATTTCTTAAAGGATTTGACTTTTTCTAAACCCAAGTCAGTGTCACGACCTTGAAACCGAGACATTTTGTGTCTTACCTTAGAATCACCTCTCAACATCTTGTTTTTAAAAAGCAAAAAATAAATAATTTTGACAGCACTTAATCTTCGTGGATTTTTTTTGGAGGCCAGACCTACTCCCAAGAACATCCTCCTTGACTCAATTATAATTACACTACATAAAAAACAATGTGCCTTTTCTAGCAGCAGTCTCTATAGCCTACCTTTTTCCTGTTGGGGAATTTTTCGTAAGATGTTTTGGGGGTGGGGGTTGAGTAGGATACTTTTGAAAGTTTGAGATGAGGTAATAGTAGCAGTTGTTGTGTGTATACACATATATACATGTATGGGAAATGTCTTTATATTTAATCACTTTCCACACTAATGTCACTTGACTTTCAAAATAACCTTGTGATGTAGTGGCATGGTATATAATCTTATAAATGAGGTTGCTTCTAAGCATCGCTTTATTCCTCTCCGCAACATAAGTGCTTGAATTTGAAATTTAAAAAAAAAATTACAGGTTCATTGTTTGAATGTGGTCAGGAGGCTTTTTTGTAGGCCATCTGTTCTAAACTGCACCTAATCAAGGAAAACCCTCCGTAACACACCTGACACGTGGTCATCTAGCTTTTGCTTGAAGACCTCTTCTAAAGGGACACTCACTACATTCGTCTCTGTCAGGAATTGGGTAGCATGTTCCATCATTAGTCATTTGGAACGTGGTTGGGCCTGACACTGATCAGAGTCCCTCAGTCTTACATTATTGTTACCATTGTATAAATTGTTCTCCTGATTCTGCTTACTTCCCTCTGCATCTGTTCATACAGGTCCTCCAGGTTTCTCTGAAACAACACAGTAGTATTCCCTTACACTCACAGACATGACTTATTCAGTCGTTCTCCAGTTAATAGGCATCCCCTCGGTTTCCAGTTCTTTGCCATTACAAACATTGCTGCTGTAAAAAATTTTGTATGTCCTTAGTGTTTGTTTTACCTAGAACCGATCTGCCCTCCCTCTAATTTGCCCATCTCCCTCTTGCTTCCTTGTGGAGTGAAATTCGCCTCTGTGGCCAGTGTACATGTACGGTGCTCTTCCCTCCTTTGAGAGTGAGGTTCAGGTGTCGCCCAGTGCCCACCCCTCCTTCTTTGTGTAGACTTGCGTATCCTGCTTATGTGAGATGATTTTCCCTAACCTTCTTTCTCTTTGCTTCCTAGTGTATCCCTCTTCCGCTTCCTTTCCTTTTTTCTCTCAAAATCATCAAAATGTAATAAGATCATTCCCAGGCCTTTGCCAAACCGTGGCCTTTGGCCCTCCTCCTGTTTTTTACAGCCCTGTCGATGAAGAATGGTTTGTGCATTTTTAAAGGCAATAAAACTTCATTTAAAAATATAAAATCCATTCTTAGCATGTGAGTCACAGTTTGCAGACCTCTGCTGTAACTGGATTCTCTTTGTGGCCCTGGTGACAGGGTACTGAGGGGACACAGGTGTCCTCTCCCATAATGGAATGTAAACAGTTTGTCCTTGTTTAGCCCCTTATGATTATTCTTCGTGTTTACTCTTTTACATTTCTCTTCACACCTGGGTTTGCACTTCACGGTTCCTGAGCAGCTCTGGCATTTTGCTTAGGCATTCTTCGAAGTCTGTTTCCTTAAAGTTCCATTTCTTTTCCCCTCCAGGATTATACTCAGTTTTTCTAGGTAGGGGATCCTTGGTTATGAGCCTAGATCCTTTGCCTTCTAGAATACCACATTCCAGGCTGGTAGCTGCTGCAGTGTTTTTTCTTTGACCTGGAAGCGCTGGCTTTGGGCTGCGTCGTTCCTGGGAGTTGTCATCATGGGGCTTCTTTCCCGATGTGATCAGAGGATTCTCCCTGTTTCCACTCTGTCCTGTGGTCCTAAAGAATCTGGGCAGTTTTCTCGTAAGATGTAAAATAGCTTCTCTAGGCTCTTTGTCTGGTCATGGCTTCCAGGCAGTCCGATGGTTTGTAAGATTTTCCCTCCTAGATTTGTTGTGCAGGTCAGTCACTTTTGCTTGGGGGTTTCTTTTTTCCTATTTTTTCAGTCGTTTCACTTTAGTTTACATTTCTTGCCTCGTGGAATCACTGACTTCTTTGTAGTCCATTCTGATTTGGGGGAAGTTTGTTGCTTGGGTAGGTTTTGTACATTTTGTGCCCAGCTGTTAATTCCCGTCCCAGCTCTTTCTCCCACAGCTTTCGTTTCTTTTCCAGTCTTTCCTCAGCTGCTCTCATTCTGTTTACACAAACATCTTTAATTTTTTGCTCTGTCTCATTCAGGAAATCTGGTTGGATTTTGCTGTGTTTTTCTTTGAGGTTTGCTTGGAGTCATTCTCCTCTGGGTTTGGGTCTTGAAGATCCCTGGCACCGTAATAGCTCCTTTTACTGGAATTCTTTTTTCTTTCTTGGTTTCCTTATTCTTCCACATTTCCTGACTTTGGAGGGCCAGATCCTCTGGAGGAGAGGTCTGTGCCTGTCCTGCTGCTTCTCTGGGTATTGAGTGTTGCATTATTTCAGGATCTCAGGGACAGCTCGGGCTGGAAACCCTCAAGCTTTCATTGCCCCTCAAATGGTATGATCCAGGGCAAATTCTCATCACTGCCTTTCTGGTTGGTCCCAGCTTCGGATGTGGGTTTGGGTCTGAGCGACAGGCCTGCGGGCTTGCCCAGTTTGTAGTATCAGTAGACTGTGGTTGTGGTCACCTGAGACCCTCTGCTTTTTCAGAGTGACAGAGTATAGGCTTCCTTTTGGTCTGGGATTCCTTCCCAGCTTCATTCCTCTGCAGTTTTTCAGACTGGGCTAGGGACTAGATCTTGAGACCCTGTTTTGCTCCAGGTTTCTGAGCCACATGGCTGCTGCTGCTTCTGAACTAGCTTCTTGCTGGTTTAGGGCCTCCATCCGTTGCTTACCTTGGAACACCACCTGCTCCTCCGTCAGCTGTGGACCTGCATCCAGGAGCTAGGTTGTGAGCAGCAGAACTGCCCCCTCCTTCTGCAGCCTGTGCAGGTGTAGGCTGTACCTCTGCTAGACCCTGGGCTTTGTGGGCTCGGGGTGCACAGCCTCACCAGGTCAGCGGGCCTCTCGCTGTCTCCTTTGCCTGCCTAGGCTGAGAACAGCCCCACTGGAATCTGGTTCAGTGTTGTTTCCAGCTCTCTTTGGAGGAGTTTGGGGAGGGGAAGGGAGGAGGTCACTGTACTTCTTCCTGATACTCTGCCAGCTTGGCCCACCTCCAAAGCTTCCACTCCTCGAAGGCAGCCCTTTGAATTGTGTTGTTTCTTACCGAGTTTTGCTTTGCATTCAGCCTGAATCTGCCACTTTGTAACTTGTGCTGTTGTTCTCAGGTCTGTCCTCTGTTACTTGTCAACAGGCTTCGTGACATCTTCCCCATGATGTGAACCATAAGTTGCTCTACTTTGGGGAGAATATTAACATTGACTTTATTTGGATTTCAGTTGTGGAAGAGGAGTGACGCTAGTACCTCACCCCTGTCTAGCCCCGCCTCATCTCGCTCCCCGACCCCGGAGAGGCCTGTGAAAAAAGCACGGTAACTGCTTTGAATGAGGTTCATGTGCACGATCCCAAGGGATCTGAGAGTCCTTTTGGGCAAGGGAAGGAGGAACAAAGTTAAAGGTAGCCAAAGTCCACCCAGAGTTGCAGAATGGTGAGAAGTTAGGGTCTAGAAAAAGAACTCAAGGGCTAACGTAAATTCTCATTACCCTTATCTTTCTGTCCTTGAGCAATATTGACTGAATTATCAGGTTCCCAAAACACCAGACTTAGAGCTGAAAAGTCACCTTAGAAATCAAGGTCCACATGTTTTTTACAGAAAACAGGCCTAGCAAGGTGAAGGATCTTATGGGGAGCAGAGGAGGTGTTCAGGGGAGGGCACGCTCTCTCATGCTCTGTCTCCTTCCTCTTCCTCTGCCCACAAACCCAGTGTACTGGACTTGGGTGTGAGTCCAGTTTCTTGGACCAGTGTGGCCTAAACTCTGTGAACCTGTTTCCTCATTTAAAATACGAGGGTCATGGATTCTAGAGCCTCCCGGGGTGGTTGTGTGTGTCAGGTGCTGAGGAGACTCTGCAGTCAGCGCGTGGGTTCTGAATAATGGTCACTCCGTGTCGAGGACGGGTGGGCCAGCAGACCCTCCATCAGGAGGCAGACCTGGGGTCTGGGGCATCCACGGCCATTAGTGTCCCTTCTTTAAGAACGGTTAAACTGTTCATGTTGGCTTCTCCTTATCTCCTTTCTTCAGGTCTACGTGCTAGGTTAAGGTTTTTGCCCAGAGTGAAGCATTTCCTGTGGCCGCTTACGATAAGAATTTAAAATAGAATGGTCGAATGAGTAAGTGTGGCAGCTAGCAGGACATGAAGATCTGTTGGGAACAGCGGCCACAGACACGTAGGATCGTGGCCTTATTCTCGGTTTAGGGATCATTGCTCAGTGATGTTGCAGCCCAGTGTCTTTATCTTTGTCCGGGAAGTCTTGTGAAGTTTGAGACTGACTTTTTTTTCCCCCACAGAATAGAAGAGTCTCATGGGTCTAGCTGTGTGACCCCCGTGACCTCAGACAAGGAATGTCAGGCAGAGAAGGGTCAGTCGGGAGGGGGGGGTTCCGGTGGGAGGAGTCAGGAGAGCTCTCAGTATAGCAGGGAGCAGGGCCCTAGTTTTAAAGGGGGAAGGGGGACATCCAGCAACTTCTGGCAGCTGTGGTTAATGAAATTAGAACAGGCCAGAGGGACAGAACAGTGCTGCCTGGGGATAGAAGGTTGACTGCCCAAGCTGTTCCTTTAACTATGCTGTCTCTTTTTAGTGACGGATACCGCAACTTGGAGGAAACAGAGCTCCTGGAGCACCCCACCCACCTCTGGGAGTGGGAGGAAGCACAAACGCAAAGTTCAGTTATTGGCTTCTCGGCGAGGGGACCAGCTCACCCTGGTACAGTGTCCTCCGTGGAGTCCCCCTGGCCTTTTCTCCCACAAACCTCTGGGCTCAGCTAGCTACTCTGGTGCTCCTGGAGAAGGCCCAGCCTGGCCTCCGAGATATTCCCCTTTAACCCGTGTCCATAGACCAGAAGGGTCTGCATCCCTGTTCTCCGGGCTTCAGGGTCTCCCTGGAACCCCCATCTCTCAAACATCTTACCCAGGCCAACAGCCCCCGTAGTGCACCAGGGGGTCCTTACCGGTTTCCCCTTCTGATAGGCTTGAGTGTCTCTTTGTTTCTGACAGCCTCCACCTCCCCAGCTCGGTTACCTGATCACTGCTGAAGACCTAGACTTGGAAAAGAAGGCTGCATTTCAGTGGTTTAACAAAGTCTTGGAAGAGAAGGGAGGTGAGGGTAGCATCTGATACCCCCATGAGAAAGAGTTCCCTTCTGAATCTGAAGGTCGCTCTTTTCCCAGAGGGAGGGGGACCAGAAACTTCCAGTTGACTTTTGGAATTGAGTCTCATCTGAGACACTAACCTGGGTTCTTCTTGTCTCATTTTCCCCTGAAACCTGGAGAGCACTGGATACCAGGCTTCCTTAGCACAGGCTTCCTAGTGGCTATCCACTAGTCTCTCTGTAGATAGATAGATATAGATATATATGAGTTAAGACATGATAGAATTGGAGAACCTGTAACATGGAAGGCCCAGGAATGCTTAGGGGCCCTGTGATTTATGACCTTTATTTGTTTGGAGCTCTGCGACTTTCAGAGGAGACCTATTTCTAAACATTTTCCTCTCTCCTAGATCCCCCTCCCTTTTCTGTCGCAGAGACTTCACCAGCTGGCACTCCAGCTTCAGGTGCCACCCCCCTGCTGGACAGTGTGAAGAAGATGCAGAGTTCCCCGAGCCCAGCCACCCTCACAGGTGAGAGAGGACTTGTTGCAGGCCTCTCGGCCTCTGCCTGTTAGGAGGAGGGAGCTGAGGCCCAGCAGAGATGAACCCCAACCATGATAAGCCTGCTCTGGTGCTTAGGCCTCTAAACGTGGTCTGATGACTTAGCACGAAAAGCTGGAATCTGGAGCTTTCAATGCTGCTTTTCCAAGTGCCCTGTGTTCCCAGCGTCCATCTGTCCTGGCTAAGCGCATCTGGAGATGAACAGGATCCGAATGAGGGTGCTCCCTCGAGGGCTGTTACCCTGTTCTTGAGGTTTATGCCAGCGTGCTGCTTGACTGGGCCTGGTGTCTTTCTCTTTTTGAAGTTCTAGAATAGCTGACATTTGTGAGACTGCTGTGGGCAGAGCTCATTTTTTGGGAGCATGGGGTCATGTCTGCTTCCTGACGTGTCCCTCTCTTGTCTTTCTCAGACCCAGCTGGAGCAGCCAGTGCTGGGGTGCCTTCCCCACCGAAGCCGGCCAGGCCACCCGCTGCCGCAGGGCCCGCAGAGCCAGGGCCCCGAGCTGCCACCTCTTCGTCCTCCAAGCCCTTGTTGACCTCTTCCGCCACACTCCCCGTCACTACCACTAGCCAGGCCTCCCCAGCGCATGTGTCGTCGGACAGCTCTCCCAAGCCGCCCCCCAAACCCAGCATTCTCTTGGGGATGCTGAGTACCCCGCCTCTAACTCCCACCGCTCCTGCGGCTGCTTCGGCTCCTCCTCCCGCCACTTTCATGTTCAAACCCATTTTTGGGGTTCCCCCTGAAATGGAGCGTGGCGCTTTTTTGCCAGCTGCCCCCCGTGCCACAGCTCCTGTGTCTTGTGGCTCTGTCCTACCCCCAGCCCCCAGCCCCTCCACCTCAATCTTTAAGCCCATCTTTGGGAGCGTGGGCCTCCCCACATCTGTGCCCTTGGCCTCAACTTCCCCTTTCTTGAAGCAACCCTCTTCTGCAGCCCCCACCACGGCCTCTGCCGCCACAGCCACCTCCAGTGGGACCACTGACTCGGGCTTCAAGCCCACCTTTGGCTTTAGGCCGAGCAGCTTGGCCAGCACCACGGCCAGCACCCCTGCTACCACCGCTAGCGCCGCTGCTGCCACCGCTAGCGCCGCTGCTGCCACCGATAGCGCCGCTGCTGCCACCGCTAGCGCCGCTGCTGCCGCCACTACCACCCCCTCCCTAGCACAGCCTTTCATCTTTAGGGCTGCTCCTGCCTCTGGTGCCAGCTTCACCCCGCCCACTGGTTCCGTGTTCCAGTTTAACAAACCTGCTGCCACTGTCACTGCCGCCACCACCGCGGCAGCACCCACTACGACCTTTGGTGCCGCACAGACGGTCCCCAGCAGCACTGCTGGCTTTGCGTTTGATGGGACCGTCACCATAGCATCCCTGCCGACCACCAGCCAAGTGACGACGTTTGGCCCCGCCGCCACCACCACTACCAGCACAGCTGCGTTCAGCAACCCCTTTGGCTCCAGCGTCAAGACGATGCTGCCCCCGCCCTACCCGGGTGCTGCCCCTCAGCCTGCCTTTGGGACTGCTGACAGGCAGCAGCAGCAGCAGGGGACCACCAAAGCGGGCTCCATAAGCTTCAGTAGCACATTCAGCTTTGGGGGCTCGGCAGCCCCAAACCCCGCCCTTCCCCAGCCCACTTTTGGCGGGTTGAAGCCCCCCACCTCCTTTGGCACCCCTGCCAGCACGCAGCTGAAGTTTGGCAGCCCCGACATGGTCTTCTCTTTTGACACGACCACCACCTCTAGCTTTGGGGCCACCACGCAGACCGCCAGCAGTGGCACCAGCAGCTCCCCGTTTAGCAATGTGACCAAGGCCCCCTTCATATTTGGGAGCTCCACACCTGTGGCCAGCAGCGGGGACTGTAGGGCCAGCACGGCCGTCCCTGGAACCAGCTCGAGTACTGTGGCATTCAGCTTCGGAGCAAGCCAGAGTGGGGCAACCAATGCCACTGCCCCCTTTGGGGGTACCTTGAACCAGAACCCCCTGGGCGCCCCAAGTCAGAGCATGCCCTTTGCCTTCAGTGTGTCCACCACCACCGAGAACAAGCCTTTGTTTGGAGGTAAATTGGGGTTGGGGAGAGGTCTCTTGTGGCCCTCGTTCAGAAAGCAGCCTTTGAGCCCCCTTTGGGGGAACTCTAGAGGTTCCCTCATTCAGCCCCCTCCTTTGAGGGGACCCAGAGATTGTGGCCAAAAATTGTCCTAAGTCTCGGCACACAGATCCAGGCTGGCCGGGATTTCAGACCTGCTCTCCGATCTCTGCTGGGTCTGTGGCTTTGGGGGCGGCCTGCACTGACACAGTCACCCGTCCCTCCAGTGATCGACTGTAGGCATCGTGAACCTGCTCGGCAGGGTTTGGGGGTGTCATGAAATTTGTGCCAGCCAGTTCTGTGTAGTGTTTTCAGCTGTCTCCTCTTCCTAGGCACAAGCTGTGTGGGCAGTAGCTTTTCCTTTGGGACACCAACCACGCCAGCCCAGGGCTTTGTGGGAGCAGGACCATCTTTCGGTAAGTACCTCTGGCTGAGGAGGATTGAAGGGGGGAGGAGGGAGTCCTCGAGGTGCCTGGCCTTAGTTACCCCCCACACTTCTTGTCAAGGTCTGGAGCGGGTCAGTCACTTCTCATTTTTGTGGTTGGGATGCACCGATGAGGACTAGGGAGGGACTTGGGGCACGAGGCATCTTTCTCAAGAGAACCCAGTCTGATGAGTGTGTTGGATCCATCCTTAGGACCATCGACCCCTTTATTTTCCATTGGTACAGGATCCAAGACCCCTGGGGCCAGGCAGCGACTGCAGGCCCGGAGACAGCATACCCGAAAGAAATAACCTGTCCTGCCTCCTCCCCCCCCAGACCCTTTCCTTCCTTTCCCAGCCCTCCCCTCCTTGGCTCCTGCTGTGAAGAGCCTCGTCCCTGTCCCTGTTTTTGTACAGCAAGCCCACCCCAGCCCCACCCCCCACTTCTCCGGCAGCAGCTGCCAAGAAGGCGGCTGCCCTGGAAGTGGCAGGTTGGAAACAAACCCTTTTTACTTGAACAGTTCCACTGCTAGACTGGAGAAACTTGTGTACATATCATCAGCCTTGCCTTGCCTTTCCTGACTTGTCTCCTTGTGTTGTGTGTGTGTGTGTGTGTGTGTGTGTCTCTGTGTGTGTGTGTGCGTGTGTGTGTGTCAGCTTGGCCAAGGAACCCCTTTCCTGCACTCTGCCTGGCCTCTGGAGAGGCCTCCAAGCCTGGACACAGGGAGGGCTTGGCCCTGAGCCTCCCAGCTCTCCTCCTGCTCCATGTGGCTGCAAGGGCAGGCTTCTTGCTGCTTTTGCCTTGGGTCTTGGCTCCTGCTCCTTGGACTTTGTCCCCGAAGGAAGCATTCCTTTTCATGGTGTTGGTCTGGCTTGGGTTTGCCTTGGGGAAGACTCCAGGAATCAGGAGAAGCCTCCATGAAGGCTACTCCTGATGCACCATCTTTCTTCCTTCCCCTGGAGAAAGAGAGGAAGGTTGTAGCCTAAGTCTTCCCTTTGCGAGCAAAGCCCTTAAGACCTCAGGGGTTGCAGTTAGCCAACAGAAAAGGAAAGCACCTTTCCCTCGGAGCCCCCGCTGGCCAGCAAAGGAGCAGGCCAGACACTGCACCACTGCTCCTGGCTTCTCTCCCTTTCCTCCCCAGTGCTGTTTTTGTTTTCTGGGTTCGTCTGTATAAAGCCGTGTCCTGTCAGCGTTGCTCTGTCTGATGCTCATTGAATCGAGTTTGGAGGAAAATTTGACTTGTGTGAGTGGCGGCATGTTGGTAGTGCCGGACTTGGTGTAAAAAGCTTTTTGGGGTCCAGGAGTTTCCCACAGAAACTGGACCCACTCAATTGGATGTGGAACGTGGCCATGAGAGGCTGCACGTGCTGAATGACTCCTGAATTTTCAAACAGTGTTTTGATTCGAAGGGATGGCAGCCCAGGAAGGAATAAGGCCCAAGGGACAGGGTGCTGTGAATGTAAGCAGAGGATAAGACCCCCACCTTGCTTTGGGCTCCCCTACACACATACACACGTCTTTGTGATCTCACAGTAGGGCAGGTATCCCTAAATTAGTGGATAATCTTATTTTACTGCTGGGTTGCATGCTTTTTTGGGTTTGGGGGGGAAAGGGAGAGCAAGGAGGGTCACCATGAAGGAGCCCCGCCTCAGTAAGGAAAACCCTGCATAAGGTAGCCTCCTTCTGGTTCCTTTGGGCCAAGAAGGAAAGCCCCATTACTCAATAGGCGAGCTCCACACCTGCCTTCCAGATCAAGGATCACTTGTTACCGATCAGGGCCCGTCCTCTAAACACCAACTCGGCCCAGAGCACCCTCTCCCTGGCCCAGGAGCCTCGCTGCTCTGCCATCACTTTTGGGAGAAGTGTGAATGTGTATGGGTGATTTGCCTAAGTCTAAATTTAAGAAAAAGAAAAAAAAACTATTTAAACATTTTTTTAACAAAATAAAATTTATTTTTATATTTAAGCTAAATTGCCTTTTGAATTCCTTCAAGCTTGGTTCATTGAGGCTGTGAAAGTCCAAAGCTGTTGTCCAGAAATTAGCTGAGCAGTGAGATCTGGGGGAGGAGGGAGCCTGACGCTGCCCGGCAGAGGAAGGGCTCACTTAGACTCCCTTTTCACCCAGGGAATCGTTCTGTAAAATGTACTTAATTCTTCTATAATAATGTAATGTATGTGAATGTGGCTAGGGCGAGGTTCCCCCCTGTGATAGCAGCTCTGGTGGTTGCAGTTTTGGAGGCGGGAGAGGGACACTGGAAGGTCTCAAGAGCTCCATCTTGAGCCTGTGTCTCAGCCACTGCTCAGTCCCACGAGGACCCTGGGGAAAGCTGAATCAGGTCAAACCAGCCTTTCCACAGCAGTGGTGGCAGCAGGAAGCCTGTCAGTTACCAGAACAGCCCAGAGATCTGCCCACACCCACCCAGCTCAGCCTCGGCCCCGTGCAGGTACATGCACGAGACCGGACGGGAACAGGAGACGAAGCTTTCCATAAGACGCTGTTCCTGTCGAGTCTGGTGGGAATTTAGTGTGAATGTGCAATTTTTTTTTCCTTGCTTCTTATAATGTCATTGATTTTAAAAATAAACAGAACTGTGATTTCCAGTGGACCCATCCTGTCTTTTTTTTCCCATGGGGGTTAAGGACAGACTTGGACTTCTCACACAGGAATAAAGGATTGCTCCATCTCCCTGCCTTAAGAAGCAGAGCAGTGAGAAGTGCCCCTTGGGGCTCAGGCAAGAGCTGGTCCCACAGAAGCTCTAACTGCCTGCTGCTGCTCCCAAATTCGAAGGAGACCCAGCCCAGAGCAGAGGAGGGAGGCGCACAGCCCGCGTTCACGTAGTGGATGCATTTTGCCGGCGCCGTTTCTTTTTCTTGGGAGCCACACTGGGCACAGGTTCTCCAGCCAGCAACTGTGGTTCTGGACTTGAGCTAGAGGGAGAATAGAAAATTAGACCTAGCCAGGGCACTCTAACCCTTCAGCCATGAGAGCCCAAACACTCACCTTTTCCCATCTGCCCGTTCCAGTACAGCGACAAAGAAGCCTCCCGTGAGCGTGGCTTCAGGAGATGCCCGGATGCAGTGTTCTGCACCTGGGAAGGTGCCAAGGCCTCTCTGGGGCCACAGAGGTAACGCATGCACAAGCCTGGGAGAAGGGGTAGAAATCAGACACTGCAACACACCCACCTCATCCCTAAAAGAAGGCCACACCACGCAGCAGGCCCTGTCCTAGAATACCTAAAGGCGCCCCCGTTCTGCTCCAGGATATCTCGGACCACATCTTCATTCTCCTCCTGGCACACGGAGCAGGTCGAATAGACGACACGTTGCAGGGCCGGGAAGGAGAGCGCGTGGCTCAGGGCACGGCGCTGGAACCCAGCCAGAGCATGTAAACGTGCCTGGCTGGGGGTACCTGCACCAGGCTCCTCTAGCTGCCTTGACGCCATGCCTGGGGGAAGAGAGATGCATTTTATCAAGCACCTGTGCTTGGGACTAGCCATCCCAATCCTCAAAATACTGGAAGAAACAACCTGTCCACAAATAAGTAAAGACAAAGTAGTTTTTGTTTTTTTTGGGGGGCAAGGCAGCCGGGGCCAAGTGACTTGTCTAGGGTCAGACAGCTAGTCAAGTGTCTGAGGCCAGATTTGAACTCCGGTCCTCCTGACCACAGGGCCAGTGCTCTATCCGCTGTGCCAATACAAAGTAATTCTTGCAGAAGGTGGCACCTGAGCTGAGCTCTGCATATGACTAGAGATTCCAAAAACTCAAGCTTCCAGGGACGGGCCTTTCTGGCCCCTGGGGGCAGCCCATACAAAGCCACAGGATAGAGTCAGGCAACAGCAGGGAAGCCATCCGTACATGCGGGGGAGCAATAGGAAATGCCATGTCAGAGCCGTAAGTCAGGAGGAACTAAACCTCCTGAGACTCCCCAGAACCCCTCAGCATCACCTTTTCCCATCTGTCCAAAGAGTTCCCTAAGGTTCTCCCCATCTCACCGGAACCGCTGCAAGAAGGGTCCAGCAAGATGTACTGGACCCGGCAGTAACGTGGGTCAGAGGGAGATACAGAGAGAAAGTCCTCATTGGCTATCTCACAGCAAGAGACTCCAGCCCTGGTCAGCAGTGTGGCCATGGTGGCTAGCCGCCCAGCATCCAAGTCAAAAGCAAAGATTTTCCTAGAGAGGAAATCAGCGAGTCAGCTCCACAAGCACAAAGCATTTGGTGGGGAGGGGGTGGGCGCACGGGACATGGAGAGAAAACACAACTTCCTGCTAACAGGCAGCTGCTTGCAGTCTGGCTGGGGGAGGAGGGAGACAGGGCACGAGTCAATGAAGAAACCACCACGACCCTCAGGGAAAGGTTCTTTCTAAAGGAGCCTAAGGGGTCAGAAGAGACCTGACGCTTACTAGCTCTGTATGTGACCATTTTAGCTGAGCCTCAGTTTCCTCATCTGTAAAAAGGGATGTCACGAGCTATCCCCTCAACCTCACAATCCTCACCCTATAACTAGAAGGGACCTTCGAGGTCACCTGGCCCAACCCCTCACTTGACAGAGAAGATTCAGGCCCAGAGAGATGAGGTACCTTCTGCAACCCCACAAAGCCAAAATGTCTACAGTGAGATTTGAACTCATGCCTTCCTGACTCTGGGTCCAGCGTCCCTTCCACTAGAACATGACACCTCTCAAATGAGGCATAAAGAAAGGCAAAGGCGTTAACAATGCCTCCATTCCTATCCCTGGAATTTCCCATCCAACACCCTGCCATTTGGACCCTAAAAGTCCCTAGCTCCAAACCAGATTTTTAAAGGAAACCCATCAATCTCTAGTCACCAAATTTTCTTCCCAGTCGGGAGACAATCTAAACTGAATGCCACATGATTCTCCTCACCCTCACCCCTTCCCTCCGGCCTCACCCCTGGTTTTTCAGCAGAGCAGCAAGGTGGCTCGTCTTATTGCCTGGGGCAGCACACGCATCGATGACGTGGGAGCCAGGGGGCGGGGCAAGCAGCATGGCTGGGAGGCAGCTTGCCTGGTGGGGGCAAGACGTCAGAACTGAGTGAAGCCCCTCCCCCCCGGGGCCTCTTCTCCCCATCTGTCCCCCACCCCCCTTCAGTATGGCCCTTCCTCCTGACCTTGTCTTGCAGGATGAGATGGCCAGCCTGGTACAGCGGGTGCTTATGGAGGTCAGTGCCTGAAGAGAATATAAGTAGCTCTGGAAGCAGTGAGTCCAGAAAAAAAAGTTTCCCCTCTAAGGCCCGTAGCTCGTCCGGTCTGTCAGGGAAGAGAAGGAAGAAGGTGGCCTGAGAACAGGCTAGAGACCACCCCCCCTTCGTGCAACTGCCCTGGAACCAGAAGGCTGCTCTCACCCAGAAGCACGGCCCTGGTAGGAGTAGCCCTCGCGCTTCAAGTAATCAATGGTGTCACTGAGGTTGGTCTTGAGTGTGTTCACTCGCACAAAGCGAGGGAGCCGCGCCTCTGCAGGCAAAGGGAGAAGGCACTGGGACTCCCCTCCACGGCCTTCCCGAGCATCAGCTCCAGCCACTCCCCAGGGCTCCCACTCACCCTGAACGGCCCCAGGAGTCGACTCTAGGAGGTCCTCGTTGCGGCTCACGCACCGCTTCACCTTGAGCCGGGCAAACTCGGCCTGCAGCCTCGCCTTGTGCCGAGACAGCACAGGCTTCCATCGGCCTCCACCCCGTAAGCCCCGGCCCAGCAGCAGCTCGTATACCAGGACCTGAGAAGGGACTGTCGGTCTGAGCCAAGCCACCCGAGCATCACGCCCAACCCCCTTTGACCTTAGGCTAATCTCATCTGTAAAATGAAGGGACTGGACCAGATGGCCACGGAGGGCCCTTCCAGGGCCCTCGTCTCCAGTCCACAGCAAACCCAATGAGCCAGGCTCAAGAAGTAAGTCAAGTCAAGAACAATTTATTGAGTATATAAGAAGAGCCTCTGGTAGCATCCATAATCCACTCTTTCTACTCAATAACCATTTGCTGAGTACCTACTATGTGTCAGTCACTGTAGGAGAGCCCTGGGGAAACAAAGACAAAATGAAACTGTCTCTGCCCTCAGAGAGCTTCATTCTATCTGGGAAGCAACATGTTTATAAGGACAGTCACATTAAATACAAGGTAATTTAGGGGTGAAAGCATTAATTAGGGTGGGGGGAGATCAGGTAGGGTTCCCTGTGGGAGAGCTTGAGCTCTGGGTCCTCTGGCCCCAAAACCATTGCTCCAGAGACTTTCCACTGTACCTGCCCAGGTAAGCTATGGATCACATTCATCCCCTCCCAGGACAAGAACATGACTTTGGGGCAGTTTCCAGGGAACCCTCCCTGGTGCTTGGGTATGTGAAAAAGCCTTCCTTAACAGCCTCCCTTGGGTAAGGCGTGGGGTCCAGGCTCGGTGCCGACCTAACCCTCCCCACTCCCTTCTCTCCCGGGAGCCTCACCTTGGCCAGGTGTGGCTTCAGCTTCTTCTCGGCCTCTAGGAGGCGGGCGCTGCCGATCACTGCGTCCAGCACAGCCGAATAGCGCTGCGTCTCGCAGACCAGAGCGTACAGCTGCCGGACGTTCTGGGACCCAAGTGTGTGGAGGAGAGGCGGGCATCAGGCGCACGCCCCACCCTGACCCCGACACCCCTGACCCCCAGACACCCGACCCCCGACCCCGGACACCCCGCCTCTGACTGAACACCCGGCCCCGCCCCCAGACACTCCGCCTCTGACTCCGGACACCCGGCCCCCGACCCTGGACACCCCGTCTCTGACTCCGGACACCCCGCCCCCGCCCCCCGGACACCCCGCCTCTGACTGAACACCCGGCCCCGCCCCCG